GGCATATAGTAGCAGCATGAGTTTGAGATGTTGGAAAATGGTTGGAAATTGAAGAGTTTTTAGGATTGGAAGATTTCGATATTTAAAATAGAAATTTCACCAACTTGCACTTAAAGCGGATGGTGGGGGATGGATGATAGACCCGATCAAGATCCCATGGTTCCGTCATCCCGGGCCATCATGGTCCCTGGTCTATTTAGTCAGAGGAGTTAGTCGACCCAACCCGATAGAAGGATCCTTGTTGGCAGCCAGGGGTTGCTTCGTCCAAGGGTACGTTATAAACCTGGGGTGAATGTTTGTCTAAGGGGACAAATTTGAATCCACCTTAGCTAACAGAGGGCTTTATGCTCTATCCATCATATCCTATTGATTCATATCTCAAGGATTTGATGCCAATAAGGAACGTATCGGTTCTGGCCATAACCGGTATTTCGTGGTGCCATTTGGCGGCAAAACCACTCTGTTCAGAGGGCCCCGGGTCATAACCGTTTATCCTGCGGTGTCATTTGACGGCAAAATCACCGTTAGAAGACACGTACCACGTCCTTACTAGCAGAAGATTGTTTGAGAATGGATCCTAGTGATATTCACGACCAAGCATTAGCTCATTGTGAGCTGAAGTAATTTTCAGATCTGTCCACCTCGGCAAACTATTGCGGAGGGCGGATGGATTATGTTTTAAGTTATTGATGGTTTGATTTCATTTTTAAATATTTTGGATTTTGGAATGAGATTTCTTGGATTTTTTGGATTTTTGTATTTTTGTGGAGTTTTGGATTTTGATAGGCATTTGGATATTTGAGGGACATTTGAAAATGTTTGTGAACCCCTCCGATTGATCTCTTCATTTAACACAGCCATCATTGGGGTGTTCGAGTCACTTTCATTTAAAAATGTTTATGAACCTTGTCGACCCTATCAATTTGCTGATAGGGGATCGGGTTTTTCGTAGGCTTTATGCCTTTGTTAGTGAATTCATATTATTATAAGCCTTGAAAGCCTAATATGAATGTATTAAAACAAATATCCTGGTCGCCACGGCCACATATTTGTTTGTTGGTTCGAACCCTGTCGACTCTTATTAATCCGTATAGAAGGATCGGGTTCGAACTTGAATTCACTTATCGACCTGTGTAGCATCCTTAGACGTCACGTGTATACCAACAAAATGCTCGCCGGGGCCCATGCGGGTGTTTGGGGGCATTTTATAATTATACCCTATCTACTCCTTTTTGCCTCCTTAGGAGGATCGGGTTCAAATTTCATAACCCGCGCAGCATCCCTAGACGTTATGTGTGTACCAATAACACGCTCGCCGGGGCCCATGCGGGTTTTGTGATTGCATTTTATTCCTTGTGTATCTATGTGTATGCAAACTACGGTGCAGGTGCAGGGGTATTTTGAAATATTTGTGAACATCTTCTGTCCGCTTGCATGAATATTGCGGATCTGGTGGCGTGAAGTAGCATCTTCTCAGCTTCTGGATCAGTTATTTGCTGCTTTGTTCAGGTAGACTGTCATGCTCTACTTACCGCTTTCTGTACTTGGATTATAGTGCACTAACTAATCTTCTGTTTTACATTTGTAGATGCTTGTAGATAATTGTGGTATATAGTGGATCTTATACGACATCTTGTAAGAGCTCGTATATGCTACAGTTCCCTTTTGTATTTACCCTGCAGGTGACACATCAGGTGTACGACAGCTCTTCTATAACGACTTGTAGATATTTTGCACTTGTCGTGTCTCATTTGCTTCTGCTTGCAAATAGCATGTAGTATGTATAACGAGTACTCTACAACCCTTTGGATATTTGTACTTCACTATGTATCATCTATCCTTGCTTATAGAGGGCTAGTGCATTTGAATGATGTTGGACAATTATTGACCATGGAGATGTTATAGTGTCTTTGTCACAACAATTAGTAGGTAAATTGAATGTGCTACGGACACGATGTCTCATTCACCATTCTTCATGTACTTGATTGTAGACATGTCTTCTATACTCATTCATGGACAAGTTGTATTGTCTTATACTATTTATATCTCTTCGTTAGTGTCCCTAGGTGGACGTAGAAAAGATTACTACAATCTTCTTACATGCCCTTATCAATTTCATTGCTTGCAAGCTTGGATACATTTAATTGCATGAGTCTTTATCATCATTTGTGAGTGAAATATTTCACATATGAATTATAATATTCATTAAAGTATTCTTGTGTATCTATGTGTGATTTAGATTACACTTCCTTATCAACCAATGATAGCATTCAGATTGTTGTTACTCATTCAATGTTCAAGTTATCTTCTTCAATTTATTATCCTTTGTATGTAATAAGTTCCATGCTACTCAACTCATAAGCAGGTTCAAAGTAGGCTCAATTTTGATTTCTAGAATGAGCTCGAGTAGAAGTTCAAGGCTTTCATGTTTCCTACATCAAGTTCAAGTTCTAAATTCCATGTAGTCACATTGAGTTCGCTCAAATTTGAATCAAATGCTTGCAAGTTCAAGTCCCAAATAATCTTGTTGAACTCAAGCTCAAGTTCAAAGTTCCATGTATTTGTTCTTTTGAATTTAAGTCCAAGTTCAAGTTAATGTTATGTCCTTTGTTCATGCTTGAGTTCAAGCATCAAACTCAAGTCTTATGTCTCTTGCAGTCCTTTGAGTTCAATCAAGTTCAAGCCTTATCGGCTTAATGTTCAAATCACGTTCTTGCTTGAGTTCAAGTCCAAGTTCTTGTTCTTATTCATTTTGCAAGTTCAATCCAAGTCCACTTGATATATAAATCAAGTTCAAATTTGAGTCCAGTTCGATTTCATTTTACTTGGGTTCAATTCTTTATTAAGTCATTTTGATTTTGTTCAAAACTCTAGGTGCAAGTCCCATTCTTTGTTCATTTGATGTGCAAATCAAGTCCAAGTACGGCCCGTTTTCACCTGAAATTTCGGCAGCCTCCCGGCGTCTCCCCCATCTAAGAAAAAACTACGAAAAACTGGGCCTTTCCCACCACGCGCAATAAAGGCGTGTATGGTATGTATCCTCAGACGAGGACACCACGGTCGTGATCTTTCCTCCCACAGACGAGGACACCACGGCCGTGATCTTTCCTCCCACCACGCGCAATAAAGGCGTGTATGGGGTCTTTGACGGTACCTGTTTAAAAAGGCAGTTTGCTTTCCCCTCGCTCGATGGTACTTATGA